GTAGTAGTGTTGTAGTAGTAGTAGTAGTAGTAGTAGTAGCAGCAGCAGCAGCAGGATAGTAGTAGTAGTAGTAGTAGTAGTAGGAGGAGCAGCAGCAGCAGCAGGAGGAGGAGCAGCAGCAGCAGCAGGAGGAGGAGCAGTAGTTGTAGCAGCAGTAGTAATGGCGATAGTAGTGTACAATGAAGGCGGTGTTATATTTTAGCAGTAGGAGAAGTTGTTCGACTTTGTTGCGCCTCCAACAGCATCGAACCACTGCGACCCTGAGCGCGACAGTTTCGTCGCAGGGGCATTGGCGGCGCCGTGAGCCTCATCGTAGTAGTGGGTGCAAACATGTCGCAGGCTGTATCCTGGACTGAACACGTACATGACATAAATGACATGAGATGACATGTAGTGCATACTTTACATGCATTACATGCAGTACATGCATGCATACATTGCATACACTACAGACATTACAGCACAACACAACCCAACACGATACAACGCAGTACGATACACTGCCATACATGCCGGAACACACATCACCAGTACAGCACAAGTTCTGGGATCCCCGACGGGTGGGCTCTCCAGCTGATGCAGTCGTAGTCGAACCTCGAGGGCTGCGGAGGCATCGGTCGGATCGATCGGAACCTGAACCACAAGCTTAGGGGCTTTTGGGGTCTTTCAATGTTGGGCTGCTTTGGGCGTTCTATCAGGGGTTGAGGGGTTCGGGGACGGTAGGGTTTTTGGGGTTTGGTCCTATGACCTTCTGGGCTTAGACTGTGGATGATAGTCAGGGTTTTAGCTTGTGCATTCGGCCGTGGCTGAAGTCTGGCAGAGGTCTTCATACTCTTAGGTGTTATGCTGCTAGCGGAGTAGCGGAGGACAAGAAATTGTTACATATACATATACATATACATATACATATACATATACATATACATATACATATACATATACATATATATATATACACATATACATATATATACATATATATATACAAATATACATACATACATATATATACTGCCCTGCTTGCGCTGTGCTCTTAGTCGAGAGTGATATAATACATAATTGTACTATATGAAACTATATTATATTTTTTGGTTATGTTAGATTAGATTATAATACATTATATATGCTATATTATACATAATATGTAAAGCAATATAGTATCAAAAAAAGCCTTGTATTCTCCTCAGTCTTCGGCCTTGCCGACCCTCCGCAAAGGCAGCAGCCCCTCAAAGCGCCATCCAGGCGCCTTAGAGTTTAGGGCTTTAGGGTTTGGGTTTAGGGCTTGCAGGCTTTACAGTCAGGCTGCCAGGCTGGCAAGAGGTGGGATTACGGGTTGTCGTGTTTCGACTGGATCCGGCTGCAGAGCCAAACTTCCGAGGTGAACGTACATTAATTAAAGGAGACCTTGAGGATCAGGCTCGCTTGATGTGCTTGCACTCCCTCCCATGCAAGTCGCCCTGGCTACTAGCCGCTTCTCTCAAAGGGCCATAAGCCTTGTAGTCCCGAAACCCTAAACCCATTATGGGGCTCCTTGATGTCCCAGCCTCTGGTGAAAAGGGGGGCTTGCTGCTCCAAAGCCTTGATTGCACTCCCAAGTTCGGAACACGAAAGCCTGAAGCCTCAGCCCTCATTCTCGTATATCATAGTAGGCTATGGCATTCTCCTGTACTACACTATACTATACTCGACTCAACTCTATTATACCATACCATACTGTACTATACTATACTGTATTATACTGTACCATACTGTACTGTACTACATTATACTTCACCTTACTTACTATACCAGATGAATCATCTGAGATGATGCCATATTCTGCTCAGTTCGGCGTTACTGTACTAACACTATGCCATGCCATACCAGACCATACTCTCCTTTGCTATCCTGTCTTGTACTAAATCTGAGAGAACAGCAAACCCTAAACACACTTGTGAGTTTCCGAAGATAAGGGGGTGCCTTAATTTGGGGTCCTTATCATAAGGATCCTACTGTTGCTATTTGCGGTACTAGATTCGGGTCCGGGGTCCCCTTATAATAAGGATCCTACTATTCCTATTTTCGGAAACCCCCACTCCAACCTCCAGGAGTTGATCCAGAGCATAAACAGCCACGCCGACTGGTAGGCTGGCCCCGTGTTGGCCTGAAGTAGGCGATTGTGCAGGTTCTCTAATATGGTTATATATAGTTAGTAGGGACCTCAGTAGATCGAATAGGGATTTCGGGGGACATTAGTCTCCAAAAATTGCTGACTGTAAGGGGGTATTGCTTGGTTTCCTTTGCGTGGGGCTTGAGGGTTGGCTTTGGGCATGGCGGCTCTGGCATCATGCAAAAACCGTGGGTTAGTCGTCAAGAAAGATCGCCCTACTCCCAACATCTCCATTGTAGGATCGGCCGTGCTTAATCTCCACCTGAGCAACATAACCGTGGCCGAAGTTTCAACGTCCAAACCCTACTGACACTCCACCAGGTGGCTCACAGCTAATCTCAGCGTCATTTTTGAGATGGAGTCCAGCAGCAGGTGGCAGGTGCTGTTCCACCTGAGTGGAAGGCTCCAGATGTTGTAGATTTACTGGAGGTGCCGACAAAATAAGCAAGCAGCAGCAATAGCACCACCAGTGCTACAAACAATAATGAAAAGACTGTGCTAGGAGGTTGCATCTGTCATGGTACAGTGCAAAAGCTAAGACCACAAGCAGCGCAGGCACAGATCATACTTTTGGTTTGATCACTTCCCCTATCCTCTCTCCAACAAAAACAATCGGAGATGGTTTCGGTTCGAACCGCATACGCCGTACGCCGGAAACTTCAAGCCTCAGGGACCGGAAGGCAAGCTCAGGCCCAACAGGAAAGGGGCTCCTCAAGCTTCAAGAGTTTTCCAGATCAATAACCTAAGGACCTACTTCGTCAGAGCCACTTCTCCAGGACCTATGCCTGGCTGCCAGTAGAATCGAGTACAGCATATCATGCACGAGACGCACAGAATCTTGTCCTCGCGACGGCTATCTCTGCTCTGAAAGCACTGTGCCATCTGAAACCCCTGGCAAGACACACTGCATCCGCGAACATCGGCTGGTAGCCGCCTCGTGGACCTCAGCACAATCCACTGGCAACACTGACGTCCAGGACGCAAGGAACCTCAACAGACATTGATGCGAATGCAGCCTCATATCCTGAAGCTTAGCTCCTCACTGCTGATGCACACCTGGGAAATGAGCTCCGTCTTCTGCGCTTTCGGAAAAAGGTAGCCTGAATTGCTGGGGTTGTTTTTTTTCTAGAATTTCTTGGACCAACCATTGGCCGGAGTGCTTCCCCACGATGATTTGCTGTACAGGTCCGAAAGAGGAGCAACACTAATCCTTATGTTTCCTGACTATACCATTGAAAGAATACTCCCAAGATCGAAGACTGTTCGTTCCCTTGTCTGCTTCCTTCTACTTTTTTGGTTTACTCCCAAAATCGAATTCGATCCATTCCCTGATCTGGCTTCCTTCTACCATGATAACCCCAAGATCGAATTCTCTCTATTCCCTTGTACTACTTAGTATTCATTCCCCTAGCCTTCCCTTATCCGGTTTCCATGCACCTAGCAGGCGGAGGAGTTGGGACTCGGAAATGGAGCCGACGGGTTGATGCGCAACATCCATCCGACCACATCCGAATCCCGACAGGTACGACGTAGGTATGGGGTTTAGGATTTAGGGAATTCAGGTTTAAGGTCTACAAACCCTAAACTCTACATCTTTAAGAATCTTTAAACCCTACCCCATGAGTCCAGAACCCTCCACTCTGTAAGCGCTACCCCGTAACTCCTGAATCCTTTGCCCTCATTGACCTGGTCATAAACATGGTTGACCTCGTCTCGTCTATGCCCGGTGTCTTCAAACGCTACAGAACAGCCACCTGCAGACACATAGTTGCAGTAGGTACACAACCAAAGCAATCGATTCTTTGTTCCTCTACATCTTCTGCCCCTGTATATATTCATGTATGCGAAGACAATGACAGCCGCCTGCCTCGTTCCAGCTTCTCTGCCCGCTGGTCCATGGGGACCTTTGCACGCCACAGTGCGTAGATCCTCCAGATGCAGAAGGAAGCCGGTGTCTCAGAAGTGCAGAATTTATGCTCGACGGGCATATCAACTTCGCTGCAGAGCTGCACACCGAGAATATAAACAAGGCCTGAATTCCAATCCCCACCAAAAACCACCAAACCCTAAAAAAAACACACACCCCGGAACAAAAACCTCCAAATCCCCACCGGCCTCTCCGGAAACTTCCGCAGCACCTCCCCGATTTCGGGCCGCAGGTTCATGGTGCTGATCATGTGCTCACCCAAGGCCAGGGGACTCGCTGCTGTCGCCAGGCCTCGTCTTCTTACAAAGGAAGGGCGGGGGTTTCGGGTTTAGGGCTTTAGGGGTTTAGGTTTTTTTTTTGGGGGGGGGGATTCGGGTTTCGGGCTTTAGGGGTTTAGGGGTTTGGGGTTTAGGGTTTCGGGTTTAGGGCTTTAGGATCCTGAAGCCTGAGATCAGGTTTGAGGGTCTTTCAATGGAGTTTTAGAAAGCTTGCAGGGTGGATCAGCTTTCGATAAGGGGTTAGGCCTCATACTACTAGGGTTGCTGGGGCGTCGGGCCTTCTGGGTTTAGGACACAAGATAGGGGCCTGAACAACTACCCATACTATCTTGGGGGGGGGTTCCTTATGATAGTTATAGTATACCACAAACCCTACTCTACCTACAGTATTAAGGCCCCTATGTTAAACTCTTTCCGCCCACGAGCTTTCAACTTCGACCTCGCTGTGAGTTGAAGCTCGGAGACAAGGAGCTTGTTAAGATGTCCACCCTGGTGGGCTCAACAAGCCTCCGAGTGCCGTCATGTTTAAAGCCACCTTGAGGCCCTTTAGCGCCCCCAAGATGCGTTGCAGCTTGAAGCCTAATACTGGAACTGTGAACCTTGAACCCTAAACCCTCGCAGTATACCGAAGCCCCTGACTCTACACCCTAAACCTTGAAACGCAAACCCTGGACCCTGAACACTTGAGCACATCCCAATCCTAAACCCTCCAAGCAAACATCTTCCAGAAGGGCCGATGCATGAATGTGTGTATGAAGGCCATGTCCTGGTAAGAATTTATCCGATTGGTGGAGAGGATTTGCAGAGAAAAAACATGAAGCAACAGTAGCTATAGCTCGCATGGCCTTGTATCTGCTCAGGGTCTCACGCTTGCTGCAACAATGCTTGAGCCAAAATGACCACAAACCGAAACTGTCAACCTCCATAAAATTTTCCGGCCGCGTGCAGCCACGCGACCCGTCGTACTCTGCTGGCCTGTCTCGACACCTTCCCAGAGTAAGCTCAGAGTGACCTGGGAGTGTCTTGCTCAGGGTGTAGGGCGGTGTAGGGTTTCTCAGATTGAGGGGTTTAGGATTCACTCTCTGGGTCTGGTTTGGATTCAGCATACGTAAAGATTTAGGGTTTTGGCTTCTTGATCTGCGGTCCTATGGATGTCGCGGAAGGTGGAAGACTTCGGGTACTAAACGGCCTCTGCACAACGACGACGACCCAGTGACTACGCTTACTGCACCAGCTACTCTTTCTGAACTACCGCGCCCAACCCTGCTTCCCAGATCCCATAGGAAGAGGAGGCCACGGGGTGTCCGAGGTAATTGGGGGGGTCGGAGCATTGTTTGCTGAGCGGGAGGGAAGTGAGCGGCCGCCCCTGCAGTAATCAGAAAACGGCATTAATGTGCATCGCCCCTTGCCGTCTTGAACTTCTGTCCATCTATGTAATGTCAACAAACAGGTCCAACAGGTCCGCACTGTGGCAAAGATGTTGATGCTCTTTTGTCCGGTGTTGAAGACTGGTATTGTACTAAGTTAGTACTATAAGCAGACCACATGCAGGCATGTCCGAGCTGCTCGATGTTTCTGCCCGTTGCTGTCTCCCGGGAGCGCCGTGGCACTCAGCACATCCGCCACAAGCACCCACTCGCTTTGATTGCCGGGCCCGATACTCCAAAGGCCTGCACGGCATTCGGAGATGCCCGTCGACAACTAACGGTTCGACCGTTCACTGCAGCTGCACATTCGACATGCAACATGGCGCAAAATCAGCTCGCCTACGCACAGTACTGGCTTGGATTTCTGCGAGCCATCAAACGAAGCTGGAAAGACCGCAAAGTCGACGGAATGAACATGCTTGTCTGGCCACCCCAGATCCTAATATGTTGCTGCACCTCTGGGAGGCCCTGCCGCCGGGTGGACATATATCGCAGTTCCTCAGCCAGACACAGATCGAAGAAGCATGCGCTCAGCGGAAGGGCCTGCAATCCATCTCCTTGTGACCTTCAAAGCTGGCATGGGCAGAGAAATCCAAGCCTACGCGTCCGTCTGTTGGTGCAGAAACTGAAACCGGGCTGCCAAAGCTTGAAGTACTCGGTCAGACACAAGCAAGTGTATTCTGACATGAACGGCCCAAAGTAAAAGAAATCCTGGTCCTGATCATATGTCACACCACAGCGAAGTCCGATCCACTGGACTGTCGGTATCACCACCATCACTACCACCAGAATCACGTCCACCGGAGTGATCGTTATTCTCACCGATCACACGACTACTGACTACTGTTGTTGTTCCCTGTTCGGAGCATCAACATATAAGCATTGACATGCTGTGACCGCTGCCAGTACAAACCCTACAATGCCGGGCCAGTGCGCTGCGTGACACAAACTTATGATCATGGTCACCATCATAAGCAAGACCACCGTCTTTCTCGTAATCGGCAGCATCACCCTCATACTCCTCATCCTCAGCACCATCAGTTTTTATCAGCAACCGTATCGCACTGCGACTGTCGCTGCGTCACTGCCATCACCATCATCATCACTAGACGCAGCAGCAGCACCATCATCACTGTCGAGCCCCCCCCCCCACCTCTTCAAGCTTTCTTCAGAAACTCCTACCTTCTCTCTCAAGCCAATGTCCTTTAACACAAAAGGAGCCCACACGAAAATGCTTTTTGGGGTTTAAAAACGAAGAAAACTTTGCATCAAAAGCCGATGTCCTTTGAATCCAATCGCAACGCGCAACGACAGCGAGACAGGCCAAAAGCAAGAACACAGAAGGGTGACCAAAATCCGCCAAGCGTCCGCCCGGCGAGAGCGGCCGCCACTCGGCCCTCACTCTCAGCCTTCGCTTTGGCGGCATTTTGCGTTTAGGGGTCTTTTTTCGTCTTGGGGCTTACGGCTTAGGGTTCCGGTCCATGGGAGCCGTGCAAGTCGCCTTCGAACTTTAGGTAGCGCAGGGTTTAGGGTCAGATGCCTGGCACACAACCCAAGGCATGGTCTTCGCCACTAGCTAGGGTTCGAGGTGCAGGAGCACGGGGTACGGCAGATATTGATGCAATGTGGGCTCCCACGCTCCCAAACCGAAAACTGTCCTTCAACAGGTAACAAAACTGACAGAATTCCGAGAGATGTGAACAAAGTGGAGAAACAGCACGAGCAACATCTAGAGATCCTATAACCATAGACCCCTAAAGAAGCTATGACAACCGAAACAACTGAAGCCCCCAAAGCGACATGCAGCTGTCCAGCCGGGATGTACTTGCCCGGGCCGGTGGCCAACCGGAGCCAGGTGGCCGGTTGGTGGTTCTGGCAAAGGATGGTGTTTAGGGTTTAGGGTGTAATACACTTTGACAAACGATGCAGTCCGCATATGAACAGAAAAACTATACTATACACTTACATGTACCTAGACAAGTAGGGCCCCAGTAGGGCACTGATACAAGCATAGATGTAGACACGTAGTGTAGACGTACACTAAGCTACATGCGTCTACACGCATGGATTTGCAGATATGATACTGGAGACGTGTATGCATCCATTACTCATAGACCTATACCCGTGCATATCATATATGTTCTTTTTTCGTACCTACGTCTTTTTCTATGTATTCGCCCTGTCAACTCCACCAAAATTCGCACAAGCACCTTGCGGCACAAACGCTTGGGGGTCACGGGGCTGGGAGGCTGTGCAGCTTGACCTCATCCATCTGTGCAAAGCCCTATACCCTAAACCCATCGAAGCACCGGAGGCAAATAAACTATCACCACGGCAAAGCCCCCCAATTCAAAAGTTATTTAACGGCAAACACTCTTCGCAACCGCTCCTCGGTACGTTGACCTTCCAGCAAGGCCGAGAGTTTCGATCCGCCGTGGCCCAAGACGTCGGCCCTGGGTTCAATCGGAACATTGGAGTCTTGGACTGTCTGGGAGCCTACGAATGTAGGTGCTTTAGACTAGAGCAGCCCCGCGAAGCCCAATGCCATCACTCAGAGCTGACTGTCAGTCTGAAAATGAGCTTGGAATGATCGTGATTGGAGATGAAAGCATACGCGGCAGCGGTGACCACGTCACACATTACACCACCTGCCGAGGCCTATACAAACTGCCTGACACCCCGTCTATGGCTCGGTGGCTTCTCAGAGTTGAGCGGCTTCCACTTGAAAGTGCTCGTGTCACTGTCGTGGACGGTGAACTCGACGCCCTGACAGCGAAGGTGACGTTGCTCTGACAAGCATTGGACAAAGACCCAGGTAATCGAAACAGGGACTGTGATCCAGTTGCAGCGATCTCATGAAGCGAGACTTCACCCTGGGATCTCGGACAGGTCGTATACCTACATGGTAGCGATGTGTAGTGTCACCATGTCCTGGCGCTTGATGTCATCCACGACGAAGTCGAAGCAGTTGCCATACTCCCACTTTGGAGAGAGACCTCACGTAGAGCCAATCCCCGGATGTTGCGAGAAGTCTCTGCACGTCACAGGCTCACTCGGCAAATTGAACGATTCTTGTCGATGCTTGTCACATACCAAGGTCAAGAAGCAAGCCTATGTGATTGGACATGCTGGCGAAACTGAAGCCTTCGGTCGAGTGCAAGGGTTTGCATTCGGTACATGAAGAGGCTTGAGAAAGCAGCATCAGACGAAGCTTTCGAGTGATCATCGGAGCGAGGGAACTTTCACCGCAGACTGGGATGCAGACTGCCATTCACCGTGTCCGTCCTCACAGAGCTGCGAGAAGCACAGCCGCAGGAACAAAGAACTACTATCACCACCACACACCATCACCGTCATCATCATGCTTATCCCCATGATCGTGACCGCCTGCTTCTACAATACCCACCAGCACCAGCCGTCAATATCATCGCCGATAGGCAAGTTCAGCGTCGTCGCAACAACAACCCTCATCTTCGTCGTCACCATGGGGTTTGCCATCAAAGCCACTATCAACGACATTTTCAGCCTGTCATCAGATGGCGATGACGCGAGTGAGACTGACAGTGATGCTGATGAGACTGATGTTGACAACGGTAGACGTAACGATAGCGATGCTAGTATCGATGCTGAGGGGGAATGAAGGAGCCGCGGGTCAGGATGATGGACATGTAATTAGGGACGACAAGGATACTGCACCTAATTCACTCAGACCCCGTACTACCTGCGTTCTCCTCCGTCGCTCTCTCGATGCCTGCCCCGCTGAAATACGCATACCAGGACAACAGCGTTACCTTAAACTCCCTATCCTTGAACGGTGAATCCTATACACCCTATGCAACTCCTTGAATCCTAAGCTTTGCCCACCTGTCCTCTGAACTTGCGCCCCGATGGCTGCCTGCCGAAGGCCGCGACAGCAGCAACTCTGACTCTTAGACCGAGTGGGGCTAAAGGCAGCTTCTGGGCAGAGTGATTTAGGGTTAAGGGTTTAGGGTTTAGCGTTTAGGGTTTAAGGATCGAACAAATACAGACATACCCATTCGCACAGAAGGTAGATAGACAAATCAGGACAGATAAATAGATAGATAGATAGATTGTGTGCATAGGCCCAGACCAGTGTCTTACAGCAAAGTGCATATGGCACCAGCACCGACTAATTACATTATACATCGTATTGTAACCAGCTAGATTATGCAAGACCGGATTATCTTAGGTGATGCTAGACTATGTTATGCTAAACCTATTCAACGTTCTGCTCTACGAACAATCGGCTCCTATGCAGATATAGATATAGATATAGACATGTATGCCACAGACACGAACATGCAGCCAGACAAGTCCATACTGTCCGGTGATTGAAAGAGACTCGCCCCATGCGCCTCCACAAATGGATGGACATCGGGGCCCTCGGGGACGCCGCGGGACCCGAGCAATGGCCGCAGCACGTTGTGCCTCTGAGACGCAAACACGGATGGGGGGACAATCAGATTACATGTGTCTATAACACAACAACACCTGCTATATTGCACTATAACAAACAGATTCGAACAGAAGGCATAAGGGCTCTTCCGAACGTCGAGGCTACTTCGCCGAAAAGAACAGGAAGCCTCGGACGAAAAGACGACGACCATAGTTCGGCGCACTGCTTTTATCGGGAGCATTCTCAAGGGCAATCCCCACTGATGGTTAAAAAAATGCCTCGGCGTGAAAAAACGCTAGGGTGTCGATTTCCTTCCCGGCATGTGTATGCTGTGTATGTATGCACTGTTGTATGTGTACACAAGTATATGTAAACATATTTCTGCCCACGCACACAGAACGCCTATGTGCATCCATGTCCTTTTGTGCAGCTACTGCTTCTTCTTGTGTGACGGTTTATGATTCACCTTTCTGCCGAGTGTATACACAAACGGAGACGCACATGCGTCATCTGCACATATTCAGAAATATACTGCTCTCATGCGCTTTAATACATCGTCATACACATGCATGCATACACAAGTCCGGGTCGCTCAGTCTGCCGCACGTAAACACCCAAAAAGTCTTTCTTTCTGCCTGCAAGTATGGGGAAGGGGTTCCCCGCCCCCTGCACGCCGCCCACCTATTACGAGTGGAAAGCGCTGAAACAAAGCAGCCTAGGTGTACGACCCCGGCTGTGGAGGAGAATGTTGGCAAAACACGAAAACTCTATCTATCTATGCATGTATGTATCTATGTACGTATGCATGCATGCATGCATGCATGCATGCATGTATGCATGTATGTATGTATGTATGTACGTATGTATGTTTAAATGTATATGCACATGTATAACATCTATATGTAGTTCTACTTTCATCTGTATTTGCACATTCATGTATGTGTATATGCCTGTGTGCATATATATATATATGTGTACATACACATCTACATTGGACAGACAAGAATGCACATATGGACATAAAATACACTCCCAACTCCAAACCCGTTTCCCCTAAGCGTCCAAACTTGTCCTAAACCTTGTATCCTGAGCCCTAGACCAAAGATACCAACCCCGCCGTCTTCAACCCTGAACCCTAAACCCCTAAAACCCTGAAATCTAAACTCAACCGTCTGTAGGATGTGGCCAAGCCACCAGTGAGAGCGGCCGGGATCGGGAAGATCACGAGCCTCCTCACATGACTATGGAGACCAAAACGGTGTATTATGACTATCTATATCTAACTATCTAATATGGCCATGCACGTGATCATATCATATATACTATCAGAATCTGTGAAGTTTTGTTCGTGCTGTTATGAAAGATGTCCTATCACCTAGATAGGTTTCACGGGAACTAACTGCCGTCACTCCAATGTCTCTCCAGAACACGTCTGCCCACTTCGGGAGCCTAGTTACTGCAGACTCTGAGCTGCTGGGTCATTAGATTGGGCATCCCCACGGCTCTCCCGGGCAAGGGTCCAGCACGACCAAGCGCAGCACCCCCTGCGGAGTTGGCATTCGCAGGTCGACTTCGCTGATGGCGTCGCCGATCGGAAGCTCGGAGCGTGAGTTGGTGACTCTACACGAAGGTTGCTGAAGCAACATGGCAGTAGCAGCAGGAGTGGAGCAGCAGCAGCAGCAAAAGCAGCGGTAGGACTGGAGTCGGAGTAGCAGCAGCAGCAGCAGCAGCAGCAGTAGTAGTAGTAGTCGTAACAGAAGTAGTAGCGGAACAACCAACCACAACCACAACCACAACCACAACCACAACAACAACCACGACCACGACGACGACGACGACCGGGACCAAGACCAAGACCACGACGAAAACGAGGGCAACGACTAAGCCATGACCGTCGGAAGCAAAAGGTGTCATGACGAGGATACTCTTGGCACATCATGAGACAACCGTCTGCCACAACTCCCTGCACATATCTCAAGCCCCGGCAAACCTGGAGCTCTTGGCCAATATCTTAAAGCCAACTTCCCGATTTGCGGCTCCAGGCACGCAGAAGCGATTTGGAAGAACCGCCTGGCCCGCAATGACATCGCCCAGCGCAGTCACGAGCTTCTGCCTCGTCATCTTCTACCACCACTGCACTACCCCGCTGCTACGACGATGACCGTGACGAGAAAGACAAAGACGATGACTGCTGCTGCTGCTGCTGCTGACAGTGGTTGGCTCAAGGGTTGGGGCTTAGATCTTGGGGCTGAGAGCTGAGAAGAGCTCCAAATTGGACCCGCGCTCTGCTTGCAGATGGGTGCTTGATGAACTCGAAGTTGGCATTGAGGCCGAGGACTTCAGTTTGAACCACCAAATCCTTAGATCTTCAGAGAGTGCCCCAAACCCGGAAATCCGGCTCTTGGCCTGGAGATCGAAAGAGTAATGTAGACCTTCATAATTAGATTGATTTGGGTTTTGGTAAATGACATAATAATTTATAGGTATCAGAGGACTATAAGAGGATGCTATTCGTAGCTATTACGACCTCTCTATGACTCTATGAACTGACAAGGTGCGATCTTCGGGCGGTTGGAGAAATAGATCCGTACCCCGCTGAACCATGGAGGGTTCTTCTGGAGCCTCACCAGCTCAATGACGATCTCGCCAGTGACTTGCAGTTGCGTAAGAACCTCACAAAAGGCATCCGGATGTTGAGCAGAAAGTTCTGACCTATGCGTTTTCCGGGATGTGCCAAGTCACTAAACTGCCCACTGTGCAGGTCACATCGACGTGAGAGTCGCCGACGTAGTTGAGTTGTGCATCCAGGCGGATGGTTGTGGACTCCTCGAGTGGGTCCTGCTCAAGCTGTTGAGTGGAAGCAGGCACTTGAGGGAGCTCTTCCAATCAAATCTAGCTCGTCAGCAGTGATTTGCTTTCTCAGTTTGAGTCTCGCGATACTTTAACCACAGGCCTCGCAGTACTTGCTGGCAATAATGGACTGAAGCTGCGCAGGCTTCGTGCCAAGGGAGCACTTGTCCTTTGAGCTGTCATCTTACCGATTGCTAGGCAGAACGACTGCACAATCGGTTCTCTCTCGTTGCAAACACGGGGCACCGAAGCAGATGGTGATGCCTGCATAGACAACAGCAAGCAACTGATGCTCTCTTTGCATTTTATGTCGCAGACGTCTCCTTGGTCGGACCGTAGCAGAACAAAACCCCTACTATCCGAACAGTCTAGCCTACAGATGCTTGCAGAATTTTGCAGAGTGGCCTGCCGGCATCACCGATTGCAGCGCCGGCTCGCAGTTGGTGCGCATGGTCTCGTCAAACCAATCTGAGATGTAGGGCCACTGTGCCGCCACGAGGTCATTGATGAACTCGTGCCTCGCTACGAAGCGCGTCGTGGCTCTGAGGTGGCCTTAAGGGTTTAGGGCTCGGGCTTAGGGCTGAGACCGCTCATGGGGTTTGGAGATGGCTTTTAGGGTTTATTTTTATACAAATATAAATATATAGATATATATATATATTTATTTATTTATTTATATTTTATTTATTTATTTATATTTGTTTTTATTTTTATTTATATATAGATAAGGCTGTTTAGGGTTTGGGGTCAGGGTCTGAAGAGTTGAGGCGCCGTCCACCCAGCCAACCAAACCGGGAGGCCTGGCAAAGATCGGCTCGAAAGGCTGGGCTCCGTTCATGGACAAACTGTCCATGGGATGCTGAAGCTCATCTTGCAAGCGCTGAACATGCTGAAAACTGCAATGTTCTCCTTCCTAAACCCCAACCCATAGACTACCAAATACCCAAAATCCAAACCTTGCACGCCCTCCCCACTCAAACTCGCAAGGCCCAGTCCCCTTTCGGCCTCGCCCCAGATCCCCGTATTGGGGGCCGAGTCGGGAGCCTCCTTCGTGGTTTTCAACGAAACTGGGCTTCAGTTTGGGGCTGATGGGGTTTGGGGTTTAGGGATTCGGATTTGGAGCTTGTATGGGTTTAGGGTTTAGTGTTGTAGTTCGGAATTTAGTGCTTCTCGGGCTTGCGGTCTTGGACCGTATCAACCTTAAGATATACACTTCCAACATGGTCTCGTATAAAAACCCCAGCAACCTCTATCCGACTCTATCCCCCTTGCCAACACTGGTAAGCCCCAGCCAAGCGACTAGTAGAAATTTCATAAGTAACCTTCGGCCATATGAACCTAGACAGACCCTGTCCTTCTGATCATAATCATAACGATGGCAACAAAGAGCACGAAGAACAGCAAAAGTAATGATTCAAGTGATGATAAAATTTCTTAATACTAAAGATAACGATAATAGTTATACTTATATTTATTTACTTTTACATACAGTATAGTGAGAATACTGGTTGTGAAAATGATTGCAACAATGGCAGTGATACTGACGTTGTGAGTGATACTTCGAAGCATTGAAAACAAGAGGTATAACAGCAACACCACTAGCAGCAACAACAGTGACAGTCACAGTACCCGAAATAGTAATAGCAATTGCAATAGTACTTGTACTCGCCATGGCCCCGCGATTGTAATAGTAAACGTACCAGAAATAGTAATACTAGTCATAACAAAACTAATACTACGATGACGACGACGACTACAACTACCAAAAATAAAAAGAAGAAGAAAAAGAACAACAGTATAACAGTAATAATCACAAAAAGCAAAAATAAAAACAATCAGAAGGATAATAACAATCATCATCAGTATCAGTAGTCAGCAGAAACAGCAGTAATACTACGAATAATAATAGTAACAATAATCATCGTAGTAATAACACTAATATACAACAGCAACATTGATTCAAGAGGCTCCCAAAAAAGACCAAACTTCGGAGGCCTGGCCGAGATGGCCGATCTGCGAGACCTGTCGGAGGAAGCCCGTGGAGAGCCGCTGCGTGTGGGCCCAGCCAAGGCAGCCTTCAGGGGCGCTTCGGGGTTCCAGGGTTTTTGGGTTTAGGGGGGCTTAAGGGTTTAGGAAACTTCAGGGTTTCACTGTTGTTGGGTTTAGGGCTTAGGGGGGGCTTTAGGGTTTCAGGGTTTAGGGTTCAGGGGGGCTTTAGGGTTTGATGGTTTAGAGGTCTTGGGGTTCTGGCCTTAGTTCGAGGGCTACGGCCTTTAGGGTGTAGAGTGTAGAGGTTTGCAGAACTTTTTTCGGGGGGTGTAGGGTTGGGGGTTGTGTTTTCGCGTCTTTGGGGGCTTCTTCTTGAGGCTTGGATTTAGGGTCTTATACCCTGAAGCCGGACGGGTCTGGGGTTGAGGGTTGGGTTTTAGGGAGGGGGTTGTTGCTTAACTTGCGCAGAAGTGTGGGATGTGTGGGATCGAGGTGTTGTCCCAGATGAAGAACTAGGAACTCGTTTGAACCAGGTGGATTCACTGGGCACTGGATCGTTCAGACTTCGCTTGTGCAAGAAGCTCGGGGCAACGCGCAACAAGAAGAGACTGAACACTTGCGCTGAACGAGGTACTTGGCTGATCAAAGTCCTCCTGTTTTTTACGATCCGACACCTCAAGCCCTAAACCCTAAACTCCCTAAATCCTAAACTCTAAACTCCCTAAACTCCCTACAGTAAATCCTAACCCCCACTCCGCGAAAGGAGGCCTGTAGGGAGGCAGCTCCGGCAGGAGCTCCAGAACCAGAGCTTCCATGAGTCCGTCCATGACAGCTCCTATACTGGGCGTTGAAGTAACCAGAGGAAAATACATCATGTGGTTTAGCATATGGTATTCCGGAACCCAGTTTTGGGATGCGGATGAGATCTTCTTAGGGGGATTCGTACATAGCTACCAGAATGTTTGCCAGAATGCCCAAGATGCTACCGTTTTGGATTGGGTCCTAGAGAGAGTCCTAGAGCGCTGCTGTAAGGGTTTACGTTTCCCCATATTCTTCTGGCACATCTGCATCATGGGGCCAGCGGGGGCCTGTGCCATGAGTTCCGGATGCAACGCAGATCCGGACTGACAGTCTCACGGCAACCCTGCACTCCTCCGGAATGGTCTCAAATTGCACGGCCATGCGTGGGAGAGCGGCTGCTTGGGGAGTCGGTCCGAGCTGGGGTTTGGGGTTGTTCGGGTTTGAGGGGACTGCACCCCAGCGCACGGACTTTCTAGCTCTTCGTGCTGTCTGCGAATCCCGACCTCGAAACCAGCTTCGCTGTCCAAGGTGCTAGGCAGTTGGACATGGTCAGCGGCGGTTTGACTCTCCATGTTCATCCCGTGTAACGACGGAGGTAATCTCCAGCCCTCTTAGCAACAGTTTCGGAAGTGTAGGGGAGCCTGAAGCCATAGGGCTGCAGCAAGACCCGGCCGGGAATCGCAAGTCTGGTTCTGTGCTTCGACACTGGCTCTGCTGGGCCGCCTGCGGTGTTTTGGGCGGCTGCCAGAGCCTTCACCAACTCTTGGATGAGCGCAAAGTGTTCCTTGCGGAGTTCTGGGAAGGAAGGATTTCTACACTCAGGATATGAGGCTGTGTAACGTCCTTTTGGCAACCGCCTTGTATAGCAGAGCAAACGGCTCCTCGACATTGTACGTGCGCCGGTGTCGCATCTCCTTGGAGCATTTTCGAACGACCTTGGGTTCGGCTGCAGGCGACTGCATACCGCTGCATTACCCAGAGGCAGTTCTAGGCGCCCGGACATCCGGGTCGTAGTTTGGCCAGTCTGCGCAGCCTTTGGACACGAAGTCCTGTCTCAACATGTCAGCAACATCACAAACAATGGCGAATCATGCAAGGAGTGCTGTGCAAGTGGCTGATCAACTGTTCCACTGATTGATGTTGCGAGCAGCTACGCGTTTGAGTAGCTAGGTACAAATCACTGCCACCTTGAGCTGCAAAAGGAACATTATCAAGATTCAAAACTCCAACGCGAAGCCTCCTGGTAATAGCCGTTTTAAAGCTTCAGCTCGACTGTCATCTGGACAGTGGCAGAAACACCCCAACAAAAGAACACGCCGGTCGCCCTGGTATCCTTCTGTGCACGTGTCGCCGGTCGTGGCGCTTTGGCCTTTTCTCGAAACATTCCAATTTCAGGCTCTCGAGTCTCGCGTTCATGTTCTCGATGACTCTCGAAACGTCCTGCATCCGATGGGCTGTGTCTCGGCAGCAAGGTGGTCTAGGAAGGTCATGCGCTGTGGCTGGCATCGACAAGGAGCAATAGCATGGGCACGTGCATATCAAGAGAAGCATCGTGCAAGAAAATCTTCCCAACACCATGCCGGCAGGTTGTACCTTGCAAGCGCGCACGGCTACTGCTGCTGCATGCTGATGCTGATGCTCTTGCTGTACTTACTTGCAACGATTACCAAGGACTACCACCTCCTACACCCCACAGGCTGAAAGCCGTGAACCCTGAAATTAAAGCCCAAAATCCTGAGCCCCAAACTCGAGCCTGCTCCACGATGGTCTGTAGGACTCGGAAAGTCGTGCAGCGGTGCATCGCTTGGTGCGTAGAAAGCGTAGCCTGCAAGCTGCGGGAAATCAGAACGTAACATCGGCTTGCTCAGGTTCTGGATTAGGGTCTGGGTGGTCGCGAAATTGCGGTTGTGTTACCTCGCGATGCCGAGGAGGAAGGAAGTGATGAAGACGTGGGGCAATGGGAAGACGGTTCATCCAAGATATAGCGTTAAGGGTAAGTATCATGGTCACCATAACAGCAATCTGAGTAGCGGAAGTGCCACCTTCTAAGCGCCAAGCCTTCTCGAAGGCTTCTCTCTTGCTTGACATCGTGATCGCATTGTCAGAGTTACTGGTAGCCTGATTCAGGACACTACGCTCCTGCCTTGGATGGGCCATGTCGGTAGTATTGAGTGTTACTCAGAAACCAAGAAGACACACAGTAAGACTCATAATGAACACCTGGCAGTGCCATTGTGAGTTGTGCTCAGTATCACTGCTACTGCTGCGCATGTCTTTTCTTTCTCCAACCAGTGAGACTACTCGCAAGCATCTCATGACTTGTGCAACGGTGCCAGCATGTCGTAGGCCGCACAGTGGTTTATTACTGCTTTTCTGCATGGCTTGTGTCCGATGTCATGCTGCTAGCCCGTAAAAAAATGTTGATAACAGCATCAAAGATGTGTAACTTGCAATGCATAGGGCGGTTCAGGGATTTGCAGCACCTGTCCAACTTGATCCGCGCTTGAGTTGTTGCCGTTTGCAGTTGATCTCATGTCCGATGCGTACACACGTTGCGCAATCTGATGTCCACACTCAAGACGTGGCATCATTTACATGATTCAATCGCCTACCACCGACCAGAGCATTTGCCTCGATTCAAACAACAATGACACGAATACGAGTACTACGAGTACCAACTAATGCCAATAATGCTGATGGTATTGATAATCTTACTTGTTACCGCGACGACCACGTGCTGCGGCTGCTCCTGCTGCCCTACATGACCCTGCAATCCCCCAAACCCCCGAAATGCCCAGACCCATCAGAGAAGCCGGCCTTTCAGCAGGCCAAGCGCCAACTCCGCCTCCAGGGCGAGAAACATCGCCTTGCGCTCATGTTTGCAGCGATCGGACAAGCGCGCAGCCCTAGAACCGGTGGGCCCAAAAGCAAGAGACCTGTTCAACAACCTGAAGAAGTGCTACAACATACAAGACAACGCCGTGAATGGGGTCGGAGTTGATGTCAGGTTTGGCAGTTTAAGCTCCTATTTCGAGGTGTAGGCTTGCGAGCCTCGGAGAGACATGTCATGCTCTGCATGGACCTGGTTTGCTGCCGACGGCGATCACAGGATCCCTTTGCGACTTCTCTAATTTTTCCAGGTAGGCAACCATGCCTCCGATCGGAGAGGGCGACGTTGATGAGCGACGAACACTCTCGAAGATCTCCAGCATGTTCAATCATGCCCTCGGTGGTGCGAATTGAGGCTGTGTTCCACTACCTGCGCATCAACTCGCATACTGTCGTGTCGCGATTCGCCCGAGGTCTGTGGCACAGAAGGCAGTCGAAACGTCGAACCCCGAGCACCCGGAACCACAAACTGCACCAGCAAACGCGGCAAAGCATCCACCGCGAGAAACCCGCTTTGGCACTGTCGACAGGCAGCTCGGCATGCCCACCTGTCCGAGTGGCAGTGGGCTTTCGGGCACCGGTGGTTTGAGCTAGGCGATGACCCGGGAAGCTTGCAAGACTCCTTGACATGGTGGAGCTCCTTGTGCAGGTTCTATTTTGGGAGTGGGAGAAAATTGCATGCAGCATTCTTTGGGAGGCATTCTGGGCCCTGCAGGGTGCACCAGCACATCGCTGGGATGCCTTGCCTACAGACCACCATGCATTCGGAGGAAAAGCCCTTCACCAGCAAGGTGAAGAAGATAAGGTATATATTTTTGCATTATACTATCACATACCCCAAGACCCTGTTCTAATTATTAAGGCCGCGCTGCTGCAGAGAAACCTCATCAAACCAGCATCTCTTCGTCCCAGGCCAAGGGAGAAAGGTGTAGCAACTGGCCTCAGCGGCTCGGCAGTCGGAGCTTGAGGTTTCAGAGCTTGACTGACCCCTGAACGCTGGGTGCAGGGCTGTCTCCACTGGCTGCAACCATGGCTACGTTGCCAGACACTGGCGGCAAGTCCCTCCTTGCAGCTGGCGGGCTTTGAAGCTTTGCCCCGGAAGGCGCAGAACACAACTTGATTGCTGTGGGACACATTTTAAGGATTGTGAAGCTGAATACGGCTATGATAATCATGATTATGATTATGATGTTGGTGGAGATGTTGATGGACGGGTGATAGGAATGCTCATGATGATGGAAGCGAAAGAACGATCATGTAACGGGGCTCATGACAGGGAGGCGAATTGGGATCATGGTTCTCAACATGACCAATCACCAGTAGCTCAGCTGCAGGGAAACTGCTAGGCAAGGCACGGCTTCCCCAGATCTATGCATCTGTGTAGATTCGTATCTACATGGGGCCCTTTGCATGGCCCTGGCTCCAGGAATGCTTGTCACAGGATCGCTTCAAGCTTCCATCAGCTCAGAGAGCCTGCGCCCTCAGCCTTACGAACTGTGATACTCTTAAAAAGCTGTTTCTGTGTCTATGAAAACCCATTTCCCGACAAAGGGAACCTCAAAACCCTAGGCAGCAAAAAAGACCCTAAACCTAAACCCTATCAACCCTATAAACCCTAAACTATATAGCTCCTGGCCCAAAGGTCGCGTACGCGATGCTTTTGGGAGGGCGCCAGTCCCAGCTCTGAGAGCCCTACCCGGGCCGACCTCACAGGAGCTCCGGAGCTTCTGGGAGTGCTGAGAAACCCTTGCCTGTTAGGGTTTAGGGTTTAGGGTTTTGGGTTTAGGGTTTAGGGTGCCTTGCCTTCAAGGTTGGGGTCTCGGATGGGCTCGGTACGTCCAGTTATGGCACCGCTCAGCTGTTGCGACGAACGATTCCAGTGCCCCAACTTCGAAATCTGCAACCTCGAACCGAAGAAGACCTGTCTCACAAACTTCAGTACCATGCCAAGGTAGCCAAGGCGCAGCGTCGGTGCTTCTGAGCCTCGGTTCAGAAGCAGCCTCGGCCAGCGAAGAGAGGCTATCGTTGGAGCCATGCAACCATCTTGGAATCAGCAGTGAGAACACCAAGAAGAGCTTTTTGACGACCCTGCGAAACTGCTTAAAACCAATTGCCCCTTGATCCCATGCATTCAATGCTGCCCCACGGCACTGTGCGAAATCTGTCTCATCGCTACTTGCGTCGGGGCATGTCGTCACCGTCACTACCAGCATGCCCTACTCTTGCAAGGCAGAGGGTCCGCGAAGTTGCAGGGAAGGAGCCTGCGGAGTATCTCCGCTTCTTGCATTATGGTATATAGTATGGAGTATATAGTATATAGCATACCTATGTATACATATATATATATATGTATACATAGTACATAGTACAGCCTGAAAGCATGAACCTGGAGCTGCAAGTCAAGCAGCACGGCCACACCTTCTGGTTGAGGCTTGGCCCAAAGCCTTTGCAGTGTGGTCAACGACGGTCACAGCCGTGCGAACAGGAAGGAAGGCATGTGCCCCTTGCAGGCACAACCTTAAACACAGTCTTCCACGAAAGGTGACTGGACAGAAAGAGATCCGACAACAACCCATTAAGTAAACCCAGAACCCTACGTCCTCTGGGCCGCCCGACTGCAGGGGTCCAAAGGCTGTGGGAAGGCCCCGCAAAGCCCGGACACAAAGGTCTCCTCGAAGAGCGTTTAGCGTTTGACGTCTAGAACTCTAGAACCTGCACTTTGGGGTTTCGGCTGAAGGATTAGAGTTTATAGTTTACGCTCCATTAGGGGCGGGCTCAGGCGCGTCTCCTTAGCGGTCCATGGGACCAATAACTTAGAAGACCTAAAGTTGGCAGATGCTTCGACCTCGTTCTGATTCCAATGACAGGAGTTGCGCCCGTGTGCTGGCTCTGGACTGCGGGTGAGAGCTGTGCTGATGAGGACATCCTTAAGGCTGCCAGACAACCTCAGCCCGCACCCCCAAACATCTAGATGCTTGATGATGCAACATAAGCATAGGCATGGACACATGGAAGTCGCGTCATAGTCTTTTATGCAAGCGCTTGACTACCAGTGGACGTGATGAAGCTGCTGGACTGCACGCAGGCTCTTTGGATGGATACCAGGCATGATTCCATGAGGAACGGGACTTCGCCACAACGTCCAATCACTCCTGCAAACATGTGCCCATCCGCGAATCGGACTGGATGCCCCGGTGGTTGACTCACGTCGCACACATCCTCAATAAGCGCGCAATTGCATGATGCTGCGCACAATGAGGACAGTCTTTGACAGTCTTTCCTCCCTCCACAAACCCGAAATAACAACTAGCCTTGGAGAGACCCTCACTCTGCTGAAGTGCAGGAAAAGTGCGGAGAGCCCCAACGCAGGTCCGACCTGCGAGACCGGGCAGACTGTGGCTGTTTTGGGACCATGGACGAGGAGCTCTTTAGCGAAGGATGGGAACCAACAGATGCCCTGCCTCCGTATGCTCAGCCGGAAGACTCAAGACCTGGGCTTCCGCAACACACAACCCTCTGGCACCAAGTACCAAGTGGGCGGTGAAATCGTAGCCCTCAAAAAAAAAACTAAAGCCGGAACCACTCTGTTGCGGGCATCCCGTCCTGCACCGACAGGCAGCGCCCCGTGGTCTCGGGAGGTGGGGCGGGGATGCCGCTGTCGATGCATTGGCCCGGCTGCAGGAGGGACCGGATCAGTGGCCCGTCAACCTGGAGGGAAGAAAGCACCGATCTTGGAAAGAGTTGCGGTGCAGTGTTGCCAACTCAAGAAGGAAGAGCAAACATCCATGGTTTCTTTAAGCACATGCAGCAGCGCCTCCCAGTGCTGATGAGGCTGTCCAGTGCAGCTTCCCACGTTGACAGACCGCCCGTCGCGCAAGTCCACTTGCAGGCACTTGCCATCCATGACCTCAGTTGGTCTGTATACACCCCGGAATCAACCACCAGAACTAGCTGAAGACCTGGGGGTGGCCCACCTTTTCACAACGCACGCATGTTCTGTAATGAATCCATGCTGAGTGCTGACAGTGCCGTTGCTGCCGCCGCCGCGGATCACAATACCGTGATGGTGATGCTGGAGGCGATGATGACGAAAACCACATGAGACTTTACACCAGGCCGACACGCATAGGGGCTCCGAAGACTAACGGCCTTCAAGGCACCGCATGGATCTCCGAGCCCTGAAAGCGCCATGCCCCGTTGGCTGCACAGCCGCCGGCACCGGTCTTGGGGAGAGCCTGCATGGCAAAGGGCCTTCGAATTTCGGCTAGAAGGTGTACTCTACCCTTAAACCCCCCAATTCTGAACCCTATAAACCCCTACGCCCTGAACCCTAAACTTAAACCCCTAAACTTCCTAAACCCCATGGACAATGAGCGAATCGAAGGCGGGCCGCCTTGCACCCAAAGTTCACGCCCACCTGCTGCAAGGGGCAACCCCTCAGCTTCGGGTTCTAGTACCTTGAACCTCGAACCACCTATTTTTGTAATGTCACTATAAATTCTGCATTAGGGCCTCATGGGTTTATAATCAAGAACCTACAAACAAAAGCTTGAAGCAGGTTTACTATGGTGGCTCAAGGTAGGCTTCAGGGTTTTTTTTCCGGAGGGGGCTCGGATCTACCAGGTCCCCCTCGGGTGCAGCATCTATCTGCATGATATCGGGCGGTCCCCTGAGTCTCCCTTCGGAAACCCTTATGAACCCTATTTAAACAAAAAACCTATCTGGGTAGTTCTTTTAGTTCTTTACATTCAGGCCGCTCTTTGGGTCCCCAATATAGTACGGCACCCTTATCAAAAGGACCCTACAACTTAAGGGACCCTAGTCTAGAAAACTACCCTATATGCAAAAAAAAAGCTCCACAACCCTGTAAACGGATAAAAGTCTGAAACCCCTTTGAAACCCCACAGAGGAACCCACGGGTTCAAGCCCTATGCCCCCGCTGTAATGAAAGCTCGTTGTGAAACCCTACCCGAAACCCCAAACCCGTAGAAAACCCCACACCCTTCAACCCTAACCGCAAACCCCAAAAACCCCCGAACACACAAAACCTAAACCCCACATCCCAAGCCCTAAACCCTAAGCCCCAAACCCTAGACCCTAAACCCTAAATCAAACCCTACAGCCCTGAACTGTGCATATTTCGGGGTGCCGCGCCTCGGCTTCCTCTGCGGCGCTGCACCCGGTGATCTCCCAACAGTCGCCTTCTCAGCCAGGTCTCCAGGACGTGAAAGAGCGACGACTTAAGGCTTAGATGATAAGTCTGCTATAGGGATTTAGGATGGCGCTTCTGTTGAGCGCTTCTTTCAGTCTGCTGTATTCGCACAAAAGCCGGCAGCGCTCAGACTGGAAGAGATGAGGACATGGAATATTCACACTCGTCATGTTTATAAAGGCATGCCCCAATTCCAAGCCCCGGCCTTCCCGGAAGCGCAGGTCGTTCTGTACGTTGCACAGCCTGTCGCATCGGCCGCTTCGCTTCCAGTGCTGGCTGGGCACCGAAGCGTTGCAGCGCGAGAGTCGCAAAACGCCCTCCTGCACTGCTGCAGATGGTTGTATGCCCTGCAAACCCCAAATTCTGGTGAGGGAAAGTCTATCTCAATCTCGAACAAGGTTAAAAAGGCTCTCAGCTCTCGGCTCACACCGGCAGGCCAAAGGGTGAGAGGATAAGAGGCGGTCAGAAGGCACACATCCATGCAAGGGTAGCGGACAAAGCAGAGTCTGTGCCAGCCGCGGGATGCCTCAAAGGTCTCCGACAAGGGCTTGGGCTGCAGTTGCCACAGACGCCCGTCTCGCAGAAGCCACCTGCGGCTGGACCACTCACTTGGCATCGATTCAAGCCCAGTCCTGCTCGGGACTTCAAAGGATTAGCCATCTGAACCGACGCAACGAAACATGATATAGCAATCCTCTGATTCAAAAGACATTGCCAAGACTACACAAGAAAGAGTGATACAAGGGTGGGACAGAAGAAGGAAGAGACAGCGGGATGGCAAGAGACATTGCGAAAAGATCCTGTAGATTCTAAACCGCCGTCCCCTGCCATGCTCCCCACACTACTCATTGGATGTTGCGATGCAGGTGGCTGTCTAGAGCGAGAATTGCCGTCAAGCTAGGCCATGCCAAATAACACCTTGAAGGAGAACAACTCAACGCCTGTAGGGCAAAACACCCATCTAGTTCCACACACAATCGCACACCAGTCCAAAATAATCTATAGAATGTAAAAAGAAACAACCGTCAGAAAAAAAAAAAAAAAGAAAAGGAATCCAAACACGGGAG